TCTTCTCGAACGTTCAGGACGTAATAATAGGGTGGCCCAAAAGTCAGTTAACCGTCCAAAATTCGCTCGTCATACCGAGTTAATGGTTTAAAGACTCGGCATATCGTGTGAATTTCAATTTCTACAAATTAATTTGCTGTATACAGTAACAATTAAATAGCATCTATATAACTAGTGTCATGAAGATAATGTATTAATGGTGTGATTTATTCACGAACTTGACCTACTTCTTTTAAAATTACTTTAGAATTTTTAAATTTTAAGTATAAATATATTATACTTGAGAAATTATAGGGTCTACTTCATGTTTAATTTATTAGTCGATAAAATTATTATATTTCTACGGTATTATTTAATTCTAAATGGATAATTCTAAACCTTCCTCCTACGTCTTTCTTCCTTTACTCTTCTGTCTTGTTGGTATTAATTAAGAGGGGTTTATTTTAAATCGTTTTACTTCTTTAATCAAACGTTATTTGATTCTTCTATAACTTATCTGATGGCCAATTGTCTGAGCCATAAGGGTTTTAAAAATTTACATAAACGATGTGCAATGTACTGGTACAGTACATCGTGTACCAGTACAGTATAGTCTACTGTTTTTCTTTTGAATTTATTTTACATTAAGGAATGTATTTTATACAGTACACTCTAAGCTTCTATACTTAATATCTGTATTGATTTTATTGCTTAAATATTTATTTATTTTAATGCCTAGATAAATGAGGTCCAGCAGGGTCACCCTGCTGACTCCATTATCTGGACTTACAAATAAATACAAACATCTGTCAAGGGTTTCAAATCGGATAGAGTAAAACACGTATGGTCACTTGATCTTCCTATACATGATTTGGGGCCCTTAACAGAGACCTTGACTATAATACTAAATTTGGGAGACCTGTACACCGAATTAATCTTCTATGAAAAAAAAAAAAAACGTTTTCAAAGCCCTTTGACAGCTTGTTTAAACGGTTCACATAGTTAACTGACTTTTGAACCACTATATATATTATTTTCAATTAAAATAGAGAAAAAGTGGAATATATAAACGTATTAAAAATGTATATTAAGGAGGTAGCCACGCCAAATTTTCCCTAGCGGCTGCATTTTAAAAAGACTCACCTATTAATAAATTTATGGTGAATAATAATAAAAGGGCCTTCATTTTAATTAATAAAAGGCGCTCGGATCCTTTTAAAACGATCATTTTATCATTTTCATAAGCAAAGTGGATAAATGCCAGACACGTTGTTGTCGTTAGTTTAATTCGTAATTTCAGTAAACCGAAATCTCCCTGCTATAATATATTTTTTTTTCGAATATTTTTATACACCGCTTGTTTCGACCAATCGGAGCGGAATAATCTAACTACGTCACTCCATTCAAGCCGATTGGTGTGACGTCACGATCATTAGAGCGAATCGCGTGAATCGATTAGCCGTTTTTTTTAAATTTGAATTTTTAAACTTTCGAATAACGTTTAACGCGTGATTTCAGTTCGTACGGGTAAAAAAAAAGAAAAAAACGTTATAAATCTAAACAAATTTTGATAAATATTATGACCTATATCTTCGATTTTTTAAATTGTTACAAATAAATGACTACTTGTTAACTTAAACGGTTGTGTTTATCGGTTCGGTGGTTATATGTATTATCGGGTATTGAATGTATTTATATAAGAGGCCTAATCGTTGCGAAAATATAAAAATAGGCCCTCTCTCTCACCGTGTAGGCCCTGATGGGTTAAGTTGATAAAAGAATTTCGCAACGGACACGTTTTGTTAGTATAAACACGTGTTCTTTAAGTCGTTCATAATGCCTAAAGGTCACTATATATATATTTATAATTTTACGATTAATAATAGGTGATATGTGAAAAGGTGGTAAACTTAGTAATGGTTCCCTTTATCACATTTTAAACAATTACTGAATGAAAAACGGTTTATTGTTTCCATATCTATTGATACACGTATCAATGGTATACGTTACAAGTATGGCACCTTGACCACAATTCTTTGCCCCAGTGATTGCATTTTAAGAATACAGGAGTGACAAATGTTCACATCAATATATATTTACTTAAATAGAAAACTGTTCTGGAGGAAGGCAGATAAGTTAAAAGAAATATCAAAGAATAGTAGAAAATTAATATTTTTTTGTATAGATGAAGGCTGAAGTCTATAAATTGTATAGAAGAATGAGGTCTTACTGATAGGTTTTCTATATCCAGGGCTTCTAAATGTAATTGTTTTAGGATTTTTAGTGTTCTTTCTAATGCAATTGTCTGTATATTTTTTTTTGTGTAGGGTGAAAGCCTTACCAATTATATTCTTAGTAACTTAATGAAAAATTATTTAGTTACTTTCATTCGATATGTAAGAAAATCTATTGGTTTCTTCGTAGAGGGAAAACTTTGTATTAAAATAAGGTCATGATGTGAAATTAAAAACAAAAAAAAGGACAATTTTTATTATTTTCTGGTTCATATCCCTTCAATTAAATTGATTTAGATGGTATCTTCGAGTGTTCTTATTAAAAAGACATCACTAATTATCTGCCCTCATAAAAGATATTATTATTATTATTATTTAATAAATCTTTATCAATTATTATTATTATATTTCTTTTTAAAAATTAATTTATAAAGAAATTTATGGTTGAGATCTTCATAAGATTCATTTCAACTGAAAGTCCCATTTTATCATTAAATAATGGGACTTTTAAGCGAAAATATTTTCAATATGTGAATAGCCTAAATTAATTTAGAATTTAATTATAATTAAAATTTAATTAAGATTATGAAATTTGTTACAAGATGGAGAGATCAACGACATTTGCAATGGGTAATACAGAATGATATTTCAGTGCCTATCGCTGTTATTGTTAATGATGATGATGATGATGAAATTTGCTTAGGAAAAAAAAATGTTAACATGATTTTAAATTATTTTATAAATTTTCTTCTATTACTTTCAATTGTTTTAAACATAATTTAAAATAGATTTTTATCTATTATCTTCGTAAAAAAAATTTACATAAACGATGTGCAATGTACTGGTACAGTACATCGTGTACCAGTACAGTATAGTCTACTGTTTTTCTTTTGAATTTATTTTACATTAAGGAATGTATTTTATACAGTACACTCTAAGCTTCTATACTTAATATCTGTATTGATTTTATTGCTTAAATATTTATTTATTTTAATGCCTAGATAAATGAGGTCCAGCAGGGTCACCCTGCTGACTCCATTATCTGGACTTACAAATAAATACAAACATCTGTCAAGGGTTTCAAATCGGATAGAGTAAAACACGTATGGTCACTTGATCTTCCTATACATGATTTGGGGCCCTTAACAGAGACCTTGACTATAATACTAAATTTGGGAGACCTGTACACCGAATTAATCTTCTATGAAAAAAAAAAACGTTTTCAAAGCCCTTTGACAGCTTGTTTAAACGGTTCACATAGTTAACTGACTTTTGAACCACTATATATATTATTTTCAATTAAAATAGAGAAAAAGTGGAATATATAAACGTATTAAAAATGTATATTAAGGAGGTAGCCACGCCAAATTTTCCCTAGCGGCTGCATTTTAAAGTAAATTTTTTTCCGAAAATAGAAGCCTCATACTAGAGACGGTATATGTACCGAATTTGGTTAAGATTTGCTTAATAACTTTTTCTACAGAGAGCTCTAAACACCTCTTTCATTAGGTTACAGTATCTATATAAAGTATACCCGCGCTTTACGACGTTGTTTTTCAAAAGAAACAAATTAGGTCGTAGAAACGGGGATATCATTTATTATAAGCTAAATTATAAACTGTTATTTATAAACTTACAAGTAATTAATATAATTAACAATATATACATTTAAACCTTTGTAGAACGGCCATTGAAGGGAGTTGTTTGCAGGTGGCTGTTCGTTTGCAGGTTATTTTGTATGCATTTTTGTTTAAAATAAACAGTTGTCGCTATTTATAAGTGGTCGTTATTAAAGGTTCGAATGTGTATTAGTAAGTGAATCACCAATATACAGTGAAACCTCCATTAACGGACACTCCCGAATAGCAGAAACCTGTATACGTAACGGCTCAATTCATTCAAATAGGACATACGTTATATTTACCTGTAAATAGCGGACAAACGTCTAGGTTCCGATGATGTCCGCGTTAGTATTTATCTAAATTAATATATAATTTCTCGATTTAAATCTTAATTATAACTTTAAAGGCCATTATGATTTAAACTTAAACGTTTAAATCACAATGGCAATTCCTTGTAGTAATAATAGGGTGGCCCAAAAGTCAGTTAACCGTCCAAAATTCGCTGGTCATACCGAGTTAATGGTTTAAAGACTCGGCATATCGTGTGAATTTCAATTTCTACAAATTAATTTGCTGTATACAGTAACAATTAAATAGCATCTATATAACTAGTGTCATTGAAGATAATGTATTAATGGTGTGATTTATTCACGAACTTGACCTACTTCTTTTAAAATTACTTTAGAATTTTTAAATTTTAAGTATAAATATATTATACTTGAGAAATTATAGGGTCTACTTCATGTTTAATTTATTAGTCGATAAAATTATTATATTTCTACGGTATTATTTAATTCTAAATGGATAATTCTAAACCTTCCTCCTATGTCTTTCTTCCTTTACTCTTCTGTCTTGTTGGTATTAATTAAGAGGGGTTTATTTTAAATCGTTTTACTTCTTTAATCAAACGTTATTTGATTCTTCTATAACTTATCTGATGGCCAATTGTCTGAGCCATAAGGGTTTTAACTTATTACAGTGGAGATCCAGGTTCGAATTCTGTCCGGACCCCATACTTTCTCATAGGTAGTAGGAATAAAAATACATTTTTTTCTCTGTTTTTCACGGTAAAGATATCAACCTCCCACTCTGGAGAACACGGGTTCGAGTACGAGTTTTTATGTTCTGTTATATCTGATTCCATTCTTCACCACCCGACCGAACCAATAATGGGCTTGTTAAAAAGAATCTTCTTAGCGCCTGAGAAATTGACATATGTTAGGAGCAAGACTCCTAACACAGAGCAAAACAAACACTCCACAGGAAAAAACCTGGAATCAACCTCTGGTATTCTCGTGTTTTCAAAAAGCTTCCATTATCGGTCTCCTCCAAAGGCACCTAATTCTTACGGATTGTCATTTATGAATTAATTGTAAAAGAATATGTGAAATATGTATATATTTTAGAGATTTAATTAGCATTTTATATATTTTTATATTTATACAAACTATACAGAACAAATTATAATGAACATATATATCATATAAGTTAATAAAAACAATTATTATTAAATTAAGTTAGCTGATTGCAGGCATAACTTTCATTTATGGATCATTAGTTTTAGGATGAACGCATTTATGCACATATACTCTACCTGTATTGTCTTTTTTTTCTTTGTAAATATACAAGCTACAATACAGTATACAAAACTTTAGTTTATTATTTAAAGATATACGGAGATTGAGAGAAGTAAGATGAGATCCAAACCAAATGTGGAGCTTCATCTCTTTTCGTGAGCCATAAAAATACGTGCCTTTACAGTAGAATCTGGAGTAAATGACTCTGTTGATCCCCCTTTTCATGCCTGTATTTACTGTTATTGATAAATTTTGATGTGTATATAGTNGAGTGTAGAAAGCGTGAAATAATCCGATTAATTTGATGGAGTATAAAATAGATAAGTCTAAACTATTCTAAATTTAGCGTGTTTGCTTTTTTAAACAAAAAAATATATATATATTTGAAGAGCGCCAAGAATAGTACGAGAAAAAATGGAAATTCGAGAGACTGGAAGGGAAAAAAAAAAATAATCGAAAGTACTATTTTAAAATTAAAGATTAGATAATATAATTGCAGATTGAATGGCATGCATGCACATAATTAAAATATTTAAATAGTCAGTCATTATGAATGAATACAAAATTATTCTGTAAATAGAATATTGGGAAATGCTTTATTTAGTTTTACTACTAAATAAATATTAACATTGAAGCATTAAATAACAGATAATACCGAATAAATTAATCTGATTTTAACAAAAAGCAAAAACTAATTCTTTTGAATTTAAAAATTTTAATTAACCAATAGCAACAAAGTAATTTTTTTTAACTCGTCATAAATTTGACGAATTTATTTTATTTTTTAAATTATTTACAAATTATAAAATTAAATTTAAAAATAAGAAAATAACAATAACAAAAGTAAATTTTATAACTATTTAATTTTTCAAATTTAAAAATTCAAACTGACCAATAATATCGAAACAAATAAAATTTTTCTTTAATCTCGTCATAAACACTTTTGGTGAATTTATTTATTTTTTTAATTCATTTTATAAATAATAAATTAATTATTTTAAAAATTAAATTTTAAAT